ACGTGGTCTAGCCCGGCCCTAGCTGGTGGGGCGTTCCCCTGTCTTCATCTGCAGCCACCCCACGCTGGTGTGACCTGCCTCCGGGTCACTGACAGTAACTTCACGTGCTTGCCTTCGGCTCAGGTCATGATCCCAGAGTCCTGAGATCGAGTCCCGCATCAGGCTCCCTGCTCGGCAGAGAGTCTGCTTCTCCCTCTGACCCCACCCCGTCTTGTGCTCTCTCTCTCAAATAAATAAAATAAAATCTTAAAAAAAAAAAAGAAAGAAAATCAATTCTTTCGGAAGAGTAAGATCACCATTTATAAAATAACTTTTGCTCACTGAATTTGCTGACTTAATGTAGCTCACAAAAAAGAAATTCAACCCCAAACTCTTAGTAGGGATAAAGTTCTAACTGTAAAGATGCCAATAGGAAGGAGACTTATAGACCAGACTGTCCAACAGGATGTTCTGTGACGATGGGAATGTCCAAGTATCTGTGCTATCCAAGTTGAGAACCACTGGGGGCTCATGTGCCCTCCAGGAAACATCTGACATCTAGAGAGAGTTGTGGCTGTCACAAGTGAGAGGGTACTACTGGCATCCAGGGGGTCAGAGCTAAACATCCTATGATGCACGAAGAGTCATCTGGTCCAAAATGTCAATCGTGCCAAGGTAGAGAAAATCTACACTAGCCACAGTGACAACCGAGCATTTCAAATGTGGCTATGTAACTGGGGGTCTAAATTTTTAATTTTATTTCATTTCAATTACTTTAATTCATTTTAAATTTGAGTTTTAGAACAAACAATTTTGAGGCTAAAACGAACAAGACTGGAGTTCAAATTTAAACAGCCACGTGCGTCTTGGACGGTGCAGCTACAGAGAGCGTGAATAAGTAGAAAATAAAGGTCTTGTTTCCCACGTAGCTCCACTTAAAGGAACCAAGTATCTTCAAGGAAAAGAAAGATTCTGAGGCTTAGGATTGGGGGGAAAGGAGCATAAATAAAGCATAAAAGGGAACGCCCACGCAGCTTGAGGACACATGCGCAGACACCACACAGGTGAGCCCAAGAGGAAATCGCAGGAAAAGCGCCCCTTCCGGGATCACGGGCAACTCACTCTTGCAGGGTCTCCACCCCCTTCTCCTTGTACTGCAGTTCTTGCTTCATCTGGGTCAGCTCTCGTTTTAATCTGGAAAGCTAAAGACAAATTACGTTTTTTTTTTTTTCCCCAAAAAAAAGCTGTGGTGAAAATGACTTCTACAGTTTTGAGCACTGTCATCTAAGTTCCTGATCGGCTCACGACCCACTGGATCATCTATCCTCTCCACGAATTTCCATCCTCGGGCATACACAGCAGCCATCCTGGAAGGAGTGTCTCCTTAGATACAAGAATCCCAGATCACTGACACGTTCCTGCCTCTGTGGAACCGGCAACTGCTTTCTTTCTCAAGGTAGTGATTTACACATTCCAATCAGCAAACTACGCCATACTCGTTTCATCTTCCCTCTGCTTACTACTTAGATCCCACACGTGAAGTGCTGTTGCTGAAAGCATGCTGTCCCACTAGGGAAAGTCAATCCCCTGAGTGCTTACTTCAACAGACTGAGCGCCCACTGCAGGCCTGTGTCAAGACTCAGGGGCTGGGCCTGGCGGCTCGCGTGTTTCGTCAACGCCGCAGGTATTTTTCTCAGGTGCGCTAGATCCTGAGAACCCCTGCACTGAGACACACCAGAAGAGGCGGCTTCGTTTCCAAGATGTCCCCCTTCCCACACAACCAAGATAAGGGACTGAGGGATGAAACGGGGTGGCACATAACGGATTCCGGTGTCACTGGGAAGGAGCATCAGAACCGTCTGGTCAAATGCCACTGCAGGAAGGATTTCCCTAGGAATACAGCAACCGGGGAAGACCTGCAGATGCCAAAGCTGCCAAGGGTCAAGGCTGCCATCCCACTAATAAAGGGAAGCAGTCCTTTGAGATCAGGGCCTAATGTCACCAAATCTTTCCAAACTGGGCAGGAGGAGTCTAGCTCTCTGAAAAACACAGAGGGATACAGGCGATTTTTTGTTAGATGGGCTGTGGTTTCAAAAAGAAACTTTCCCGGGTGCCTGGGTGGCTCAGTTGGTTAAGCAACTGCCTTCGGCCCAGGTCATGATCCTGGAGTCCCAGGATCAAGTCCCACATCGGGCTCCCTGCTCGGCAGGGAGTCTGCTTCTCCCTCTGACCCTCCCCCCTCTCATGCTCTCTCTCTCATTCTCTCTCTCAAATAAATAATAGAAAATCTTAAAAAAAAAACTTTCCCCCTCCTCTTAGAAAAAAGTGAAGAGTAAAACCAAATGTAATGATAATCCACAAAATTGAAAATCTTAACCAAAATATGAGTGTTAGACACACTGACCACCATTAAGTGAACCATGATAAGCAATAGTACATAAAAATACATATGGGGCTTCTAGTTGTGAAAGCACTCATTTTACTCACCCTATCCCGACGACTTGCTATTTCTGCTTTAATTTGGTATGGGTCGTACTTTGTATTTGCTGAATATCCAGAGAAGGCTAAACAGAAGGAAAATATTTTATTTTATAATGGATCCTTTAAAATAAGTAAATACACATAGACAGGAACTTCTGAAATCGATAATTAATTCTAAGTCTCCGATTTACAAGTTGGCACTGGCTCCTAAGGAATTAACATCTCACATCCTCAAATCTTGATGTTTGATTTCTTCGTGAGGCCTTTCTACGTGATTCCACACGAGAAAATAGATGGCTGTCGGTAAACCAAAACTCGACTGCAAAATTACTAGGGTTAAAAACCACAGATACACTCGGCGGGGTTGGGGGGGTGAAGCTGCACGGCGCGTTGTGCTGCGTGTTTAGCTAGAACACACCACACAGCTAAGTGCTTCCTTCCACAGCGCAGCACGCGGGGCTCCAACTCCCGAAGAGCCACAGCGCGGTGAGTACAAACAGCCGGTACGTGGGGGTGAACGCGACGCGGAGGGCTGCCGAGCTGTGTGCCGAGCACAGCCAGCCAGACGGCAAGAGCCCTGCCAGTGATCCGGCAGCTCGAGCCCTTAGCGGCTGCTTGCCATCGCTACCGCCCTGCTCGCCTCCCTGCACTGCTTTTTCTTGACGCTTCTGTCTCCTCTCTCTTAGGCTGCGGAAGCCGTCCGCTTGTGTGCGGCACTGACGTGGTCTAGCCCTGCCCTAGCTGGTGGGGCGTTCCCCTGTCTTCATCTGCAGCCACCCCACGCTGGTGTGACCTGCCTCCGGGTCACTGACAGTAACTTCACGTGCTCAGAGGACCCATCTGCAGCGCCAGCATCTCTCCTTGACTCCTTTGATCTGGCTACTGAAGGGTGACTGTCATTCAGGTAACTAGGTGCCAACAGCTAGAAACTAGCTCAAAATCATTTCCTGCCTTTGTAACAGAGAGGATGGCTCAAAGTCATCAAGTGGCTTACACAGCAAGATTGTTTAATAGCCTCAACTAGAACTACATCCGAAGTGAATTTGAGCAGTTCGGATAGCTCTTTAAAAACCAGTTCTATAGGGCACCTGGGTGGCTCAGTCGTTAAGCGTCTGCCTTCAACTCAGGTCATGATCCCAGGGTCCTGGGATCGAGTCCCACATCGGGCTCCCTGCTCGGCAGGAAGCCTGCTTCTCCCTCTCCCATTCCCCCTGCTTGTGTTCCTGCTCTCGCTATCTCTCTCTCTGTCAAATAAATAAATAAAATCTTTAAAAAAAAAAAACCAGTTCTATAAAGAACTTACTACTGAAGTCCCTATCAGTCAGAATTTCAAACCATTAGAATCTACTAGAAATAAATATCTGGAGGAGCTAAGCATTTGCCAACTTTATCTCAAATGTTCTTATATTTAGAATCGTAATCTCTCGAAGACATGGAGTAAGATATTTTTAAAATAGAATTCTTTCTCAGATGAAGACTATTTCCAAACCCTACAACGTCCATCTTGACAGACTCTTTGGCTTCATTTAAGATCAGTACTGAAAGCCACACCTTATACAAAGCCCTTAAGAGTCAGAAATCATTTCTGTAAAATCTCCACATTAAACTCCTGGGACTTAAAGTTTTCCCAGACCCGAGCCGAGGGGACTTCCACTTGGACCCAGGTAAGAAGCCAATGAGCCCAGGGCTCGCGGACTCCTCACTTCCCTGTGTGTCACCCTGCATTGGAGGAAGACAATGCCCACAGTTATCACCTGGGATTGTTCCCATATGGGATAGAAAGGAACCCCGTTACCCAAGTCCAGGGAAGTTAACTGCAATATTAAACAGCAGTAACCACGGTCTGAAATCGTCGCCACAAAACTCCTACGCAATTTCATAGGGAAAATTAGCAGAGAGACTTGAGATAACAGGATACAGTTTGACAAACACACAGCAACCTGTCCCCCAGTTCTCCTTCCTAACTCACGGGACCCTGAGCTTGTTGGGGATGCACCTCTCCCCTGGGAGACTCGGCGTGTGCCCAGTCCTGGAGGGGGAGGGAGCCTGATAAGCCACGGCCTCACTGAGCGCCGAATCCAGCCCACTGCCGGAGGATTCAGTTAATGGGACAAGAGATGTCCTTTGTCCGGGTCCATGGGAGTTAGCCTTTTGTGTTACTTACAGCTGAAACCATCCTAAATGACAGAATAGGTTTTACTTATGTAGGTAGCATTCAAGGTTAGCTTTGCTACGGTCTCTAAAATTGTAAAATTCAAGGACTGGGAGGAGGGAAAAGGCAACTCAAGTACCTAAAACAGCGAGTGCATTTATCTTCAAATACTAAGGAGAGTTGTGAACACGGGCATAACTTTTAATAATATAACTGAACTTATAAAGACAAACTCTCAGTTCCTTACCTCTGCCAGTAAGTCCAACGTAACCCATCTCTGGAGTCCAAGGAATACCTCAGGACTCCAGGCTCCATTTTTCACGGCACACACTCCACAACGTTTAAAAAAAAGAATTATCTTTCTCTGTTAAGACATGTCTCCAATCTCAAGGTTTATGATAAATATCAGACTCTCACCTCTAAAGCTTTCTTCTCTCTTGAAGACTTGAGTGGGCACTACTATTAAACAGCTTAAGGAGTCCACTCAGGCATATGGTAGTACTTTGGGGGATGTAAGAACAAGGTTACGGTCTACCTGGACCACAGCAACGTAAACTATTAGACCTTGCTATTAGAAGGTGCCTTTCACATTTATTTCATCTATTTTCATAAAATCTGTGTGAGAGTGGGGCGCCTGAGTGGCTCAGTTGGTTGGGCATCCGACTCTTGATTTTGCTCGGTCGTGATCTCGGGGTTGTGGGATTGAGCCCCACATCAGGCTCCGTGCTCAGCATGGAGCCTGCTTGGGATTCTGTCTCTCTCGCCCTCTGACTGTCCCACCCCACCCCCTGCCTGCGCTTGCTCACTCTCTGTCTCTCTAAAGTAAAATAAATCTCTTTTAACAAAATCTTTGTGAGAGACGATGATTACATTTCCCCACTTGACAGAGACTAAGTTTGTAGTGACTCGATCTGCATCAGTCAAAAAGGGACTTCTGTCTGACACTTGGGCTCCTGTGAGCCAGCTGCCCACAATTCTTCAATCAGATCAGCTCTCCCAGCGGGAGAAGGCATGGCCCTCCAGCACTTAGATGCTGCAGACCCCAGTACTGACGCTGGATTTCGATTTTATGGCATACTGAAAAGGGAAAACACGTATGCTGCGGTGTCTGTCTGTCTCTGCCTCCCTGTTTCCCTGCTCCACACAGGCCTCCTCTGTGCTGTGAGAACCTGAGATCACCTGAGGGGACGACACGCTTCTCGGAAGACGTGCTCTGGGCAGACCGCTCCTTAGGACCAAGTGTGCACCTCCAGGCGTCAGCACTGTAGGGAGGTGCTCAAGGAAGCCAAGAGAACTCTGGCAGAAAGGACGGCAAGCCCTGACAGTTCCCATGCTGACAGGTACTAATTTACCAGAGCAGCGACAAAGGCACGCATGTAAATAACCCAGGCCAACAGAGGACATGACATTTGTTTTTTTAAAGGCACCATAAGCAAAGGAAGAAAAAAATCGAACAAGCCCACTCAGAGGTGACCTAGAGAAATAACACAGGATGCCACCAAATTCAAACCAAGCATTCTCTCAGAAATGTTCTCTAGGGCAGACTAGGGGATTATCTCTCAATAGACACGGATGCTCTGCAATCACCTTCAAGATTGAGTCTTACCAACTAATAACCTGTGAAAAACGCTGCGTGATCCATTTTTCTCCTGCCAGCTCCAACATGCTTGCATGAAGGAAAACAAAAGGTTGAACGGATGGACTGTGGCCATCATCCCAACCTAGACAGTAGAGGAGAAACCCTCTTCAGGATAACCAGTGGAAGACAGTCTTTGTGGGATGGGCTTAAAGCCTCAGAAAGAATGTTGGCAAAACTGCTAACTGATAAGGTCAAGCTTCACCACCACCTAACCCAGGAATTCAGGGTGGGTCAGCGCTTTCTCACGGGAGATTAGGCCAACTCTCCCAACCACCCAAAGATACTTTTGGTGCAGACTTCCGGTAGTTCCTAGGAGCTAGGATAACAAAGTCATATGCCTGCTGCTGGAAGGGACCATCACAAGTCAATCTAGACTACTGGATTCCCAACTCTGGGAATCACCTGGGATGCTTTACAAACAAATGTCTGGCCCCACCCAAAACCAATCAGATCAAAATCTCTGGGAGTGGGGCCCAGGCAGCAGCTTTTAAAAGCCCCTCAGGAGATTATACCCTGTAGCCAGGGTTCGGAGCTATTGGTGTAGACCAGGGGTTGGGAAACTTCTTCTGCAAAAGGCCGGATAGTAAATACTTTTGGTGTTGTGGGCCATATGGTCTCTGTCTCAACTCCTCAACTCTGCTGTTGTAGCTACTACAGACAATAGGTAAGTGAGTCGATGTGGATGTGTTCTAATAACACTTTATTTATAAACAGCCAGAGTGGACAAGAGTCAGCCCAAAGGCCACACATAATTTTCTGACCTGTGGATTAGACTATAATTTACCCTGTAAATGGTCATATACTTCAACCGAATGCATCCGGAAGCTAAAGTTTCTCAGGAAGACCGAACGATTAGCTCCAGAATAAAAGCTTCCGACATAACAAACGTATTCAGTGGGAAAGGCAAAGAGAAGAACACATTACAATGAAGAAAGCAGGGCATCTTCTTCTAGATGAGGAATCAATTCATTCTTCACCCAGAGAGAATTACGCTCACTGTATGAAATAAATGCATGCAACTGGAGACAAATTTTAAAGTAAATTTAAAAAAAGAAAAAGACCTCCCTCTTTCCACCGCTAGATATGAGCAATGTTAACAAGTTAATGAAGCAAAGTGTACAAAACAGTGACTTAATGCAAAGCAAATACAAATGTAACCACCCAAGTCAAGAAACACAAAGGTCTCCAACTGTCAGGTAGTACTTTCACTTTTCAATTTTTGTAGTGATCCTGAAGGCTGCAAGAAATTCTTTCACTACAACAATTTTAATAAAACTCCTTTGCCAGCAATACAACACAACACGTGAAGAAAGTAGGAGAAAACTACAACACGGAGCTGCAGAGAAGTAGCAGCTGAGCAGCTCCTGCCCCGCGCTCTACGGAGCATAAAATAGGCCTGGGTACCGAGCAGCCCCCAGAAATAAAGCAGAGTAGGGTTCTTAGTCTCACGGGGACATGTACGCTCAAATCCAGCCAGCATCTGAATCTGTTTTGCTCAGGGACAAAAAAAGGTCAAGGCTTGGATATTCTTAAGATACCAGATGGCCCAATATTGACACAAAATCTCTTCTCTCCAGTGAATGGAGTTTTATTCTGGTGATTTCCAGAACTCAGGGAGAAATCTGTGAAGGGTGTGGCAGAAATGCACCTCCCTTACTCCCACCCTCCTTCGTACCCTTCTGCTCCAATATTAAAAATGGCTGTTTTAGTTAATTCCTCTGTTCACCATCATTGCCTTATTTTCCCCACCATCCGCCATTAGGGATAAATCGTGTCCCCAACATTTAGTATTTACCAACAGCAGGTGCTAAATAAGTATCTGTTGGAAACTAAATGAATAGTTTGGCAATCCTACCATGGGCCACAAGAAAGCCAAGAAGCAGATGGTGCTCTGCCTTCCATTTGCCCCTTTTAGTGTTGCAAAATTGCCAGATGACTTGTCCATTTATAATCGGTCTTTATTTCCAGATAACTTGAACAATGAGAGGGCAAGGTGTTTCAAAAAGCACGATTAGCTCTTTTGCGCTGCCTCTCCCATGTCTAGGAAACAGTACAAGGCACTGAAGGCCACGTACACAAACAGATCTCGGTTCAAGTCCAAGCTCTACCATTTACTGGCTATGTAAACTTGAAGAAGTAACTTAGCCTTCCCAGTATCGTTTCTCATGTGTACAACAAAGACAGCGTCATGTACCTCAGAATGTTGCAATCCCAACAATGCAGAGATAATAACACTAGCCCACTGAATACTGGCTCTTTTCCCTTCAAGTCATTGCCGATGAAGGAAGTAATGAGAAGTAAGTCCAGATGTTATTCTGTTCCCAGTACGAGAGCACGGAGACGCCTCCCTGCTTTAGACGACTAGCCCTGACAGCAATCTGGGCTGTGTGAGACCGGCGTGGCCAGAGAGAATTCCTTTGAGTCATCTAAAAGAGTTTTCCTCATCGTAATTGGTAGTTCAGGTTAAATGGCAAGCTGGAAAGAACTTCGTTAGAACCCCAGAGACAGCAGCAACCTGGTAAAGCACTTAGATTAAGTCCTAGATTCCATTCTGAGTCTTTTCCCAGATGAGCCGAGAGGCCCTGGCAAAATCCACTGGCATCTCCAGCCCTTCATGAAAACAGGCAGGCCCAATGTGGCCCCCGAGGCCACTTCCACAAGTGGATGTAGAGACCGTGTCTACATAGACACTTCTAGCAGGTCGGGATTCTGATGAGCGTGTCAGAATCTCAGGTCAACACTACAGAGTCATCTGCTTCCTCTACTAAAGGTTTCCTCATGCACCACTCAGGACAGCATCTTGAGTATTGTTTTTTACTGGGCAGTCATTAAATTCTACGGAGCACAGGAAGGAATATAACTGAGTGTAATTCCCTACTTGCCCAAATGTCAAGGGAGAGAAAAGCCCATGGAAATACAAACACTGATGCTGAGGGATGTCCCAGCATTAAAGGACTACAAGTTCTCAGTGCTCTTCATCTGCGTGCTCAGCTTTGCCCTGGGACTCCTCCTCTCTTGCTTCCCCCAGGGCTGGGTGTGGAATCCAACGGGGTGCTCGATGGTCGTCCTAACCCTGCATCCGCAAGGGCTCAGGTCCCCAGCCCCCACCTTCACTGCAACCAAAGTCTTAGAGGCATGGGTAGTAGGCAATCTTCCCTTGAGGCAATTTGTCTTTTTCAATCACTGGCAAGAAACTTCCTGCCAAATTTTTCTGATATGTCTTTCTCCCATTCCATTCTTATTAGAAGAACTGACTGGAGAGCCTTTGGAGACTTAACCAAACCCAACTAGGGGACAGATAAGGTCCCTAAAGGCTACTGGGAAGAAACATTCTATTAGGTTGAATCATATGAGACTGCCAATATTCAGCCCTTTTTAAGCTACAAAAACAACAACTTCATATGGTTCAACCTAGCTTCTGTCAAGTCACTTTTCTAAAAGGCTTCAAATCGCTAACCCTACGCTCTCAGAAACAGTTATAAGCCTCCGCTGCAGCTAGGTGTGACCTCGGAAGTACCAAGTCCATGGGCTTCTAACGCTATGAGGCCACTGAGAGAGACCATATGCTGGGCCATAAGTCATCTCAGTAGAATCCCAAAGACTGAAATCTTACATGTGTAGTTTCTGACCACAATGGAATTCAATTAGAAATCAACAACATGACATCTTTAACAAGTGTCAATAACTGACTTTTAAAGAACCCCGGGTCAAAAAAGAAACTACAAAGGACATGAGAAACCATTCTGAAATGACTGAAAAAATACCAACATTTGTGGCATGTAGTTAAAGTTGCACTTAATGAAGAATTCATACCTTTAGAGGTCATGTGAGAAAGTAAGAAAGCTCTCAAATCAATGATCTAAGTTTCTACTTTAGGAAGCTAGGAAAGGAAGAACAGAGTAAAGCCAAACTAAGAAGCAGGAAGAAAATAATAAAGAAGAGAAATCAATAAAATAGAAATGGACAAGAAACAGGAAAAGAAAAAAAAAAAACCCAAAAGCCAGTTTATTGTAAAGATAAATACAATCAATAAAAGTTTAGCTACACTGATTTGAAAAAAAAAAAAGACACAAAATATTAGTATCAGGAATGAAAGGACACCACTTCGGAGTGTCTAGATATTAAGAAAATGGTAAGGGAATTCTACAAACAGCTTTATAAACTTGACAACTTAGGTCAGCAGTTGGCAAATTCCCTGCAGGCCGAATCAAGCTTGTTACCTGTGTTTACACTTTTCTCAGAGCAAGCCACACACATTGGTTTATGTATTGTCCCTAGCTGCTTTTGCACTATAAAGACAGGTTGAGTAGTTGCAACGGAGACCATATGGCCCACAAAGCCTAAAGTATTTACTATCTAACCCTTGATAAAAAAAAAGTTTACTGACTTTTAGATTAGATGAAATAGACAAATTCTTTGAAACACATAAATACCACAATTGATTCAAGAAGAAACAGAACATCTGAATAGCCTTGTATCTATTAAAGATACTGAATTTATAGTTACAAACATTCCCACAATGAACTCAGGTCCAGATGGCTTTTCTGGTGAATTCTATCACGTTCCATCAAATACCAATCCCACTCAAACTCTTTCTGAGAAGAGAAGAGGAGGGAACGCTTCCCATTTCATTCTGTGAGGCCTGATACCAAAATCAGAGGAAGACATTATAAAAAAAGAAACTCTGGAGATAAGAAACCTGCCTCTAAAAATTAGCACTGGGCTGACCACTGCATTCTGACGGATAGTTAAAACAAAAGCCAAAAACCAAAAAAAATCTCGTAGATAACGATATTTGAAGAACAAGAGATAAGACGACCTGGAAACAACCCTTAAACCCGAGTCCTGACCTTCTCTCAGGGAGCGCGATGCAGACCTCTCTTCAATTCCTGGTACAGAGCGGACACCCCACCCCTCTCCTCCCCACAGCTTGTGAGGTCTATTCACCTTCCACAGCAGTTGCAGTAAGAAAGACCTCTGGCCCCCTGGCCTTAACTCCATTCTGACTTGCAACCCAGAATAAAGCTCTGACCGTGTCTTTAACGCTCAAGGCTGTGTCACCAGAGCCAAATGCCCGGCAACGTGGCAGTCACGTCACGGGTAAGGCCCTCCATGTCTCAGCCCTTAGCAGCAGCACTTCCACACGTTCTTCCCAAGCTCACTGGCACCCATAACACTCCCGGCCCTGTGCACCTGTGATGGGCTGTTCGGTCTGGCAACTCTTGTTGGGAGGGGACAGGCTCCAGCGATGACTGACCGTGTCAGTAACAACATGCTTTGGGTTCTGAGACTGGACCGGGTTCCTTGAACACCTGAGCACCTGCTGAGTACTAATGAAATGGGGGCCCACGTCCAGCAGCCTCGAAAACTAAGAGGGATTCCCTCTGAGAACATCGGTGTGCGTCCGTCTCACTGAGGGTGGGGGAAGAGCATCCCCCCGACCCCCTGGGCTACACTGAGTTCCTCCACCTTCAGCGGACTGCCCCACAAAGGACTCTACAAAGAAACAGGTGCTCGACACGGGCGACGGCTCCCGAATCTCTCCAGGCAGGAGGCAGGATCACCGAAACCGCTGTGTGACCTTCCCAAGGTGATCTATTCACGGCAGAGATCTCTGGGGGAAGCCCCTTTCCTCACTGACAAACACGACACGTGAGGTGGTTTCATGTCACTACCGGAAACTCGCCTATTTTCTCCCTTCCCCACCCGGACGGAAGGTCTTGGGGGCAGGGACCTCTGCGTTCCTGGGCTCCGCCGTATCCCGGGCCCGGGCACAAGGCAGGCACTTGAGAAACCGTCGCTAAGCAGTGGCTGCAGGCTATGCCTGACTCCAGAGCACAACACTGACTCCCTAACAGGATGCGCTGAGGAACTCTAGGAAGCGGGCTTGCCCGAGTCAAGTTCGGGGTCTGCGGGTAACCTAGTGCAGAGGGGGCTTCTCAAGTCACGCACGTGAGCCCCGGAGGCGGTGACTCACAGCCGGTGTAGGAGCGGGTGTCGTCCTCACACATTCTGTGCAGCTGCTGGTACTCCTCCTGAGCCAGCTCGAACCGCTGCTGCTTAATCTGGTAGATTTCTTTCTTGGCATTGAGAGCCTCCTGGGCTACAATCAAATACTCCTTCAGCATCCGTTCCTGCTCTCGCCGCCATTGTTCTCTGGGATCCTCAATCTGGGTAAGCTCTGAAATGGAAAGGGTGAGAACGTAAGTGACTTAAGAGTAAAATCTTGGGCACCTGGGTGGCTCAGTTGGTTAAGCGACTGCCTTCGGCTCAGGTCATGATCCTGGAGTCCTGGGATCGAGTCCCGCATCGGGCTCCTGGCTCGTCGGAGAGCCTGCTTCTCCCTCTGACCCTATCCCCTCTCATGCTGTTTCTCTCTCTCTCTCTCTCAAATAAATAAATAAATAAAATCTTAAAAAAAAAAGAGTAAAATCTTTAGGCCGACCAACAGTCATGCAGTCATGCAAATGGTCGATGTGAAAATTAACTGCCAGGATGCACATTATGGAAGCATCTACATAACAAAACTTCCTATAGCGCAGAACACCTTCTGTTCACATACCCACAGTTGAGACGAGAAGAAAACTCTACGGACATGCAAAGGTTGGCTGGAGGGGGGCAGAAGACGATACCACACAATTTTTCACACCGTGAATAAACACTGGCGGAGATGAAACCAAATGAGCTCATCACCGTCAAACTAACGGCTATTTCCAACCTTCTTCTCGCAGACTTCTTTGGCTCGGGATGCCCCTCTGATCCAGCTTGCTCCCCTCCCCCTTGCCTTCACACCACACCTGCAGCCCTTCTGCGATGTTTGTGACCTTTCTCACCTCCTCCCACCTATAAATTCTCCCCTTTTCCACTCCGGCTTCCTCACTCTACAAGGGAGGCTCATGTCTCCCTCTGGCTCCAGCCTCTCTCCTGGGCTCCCATTCTCCTTCCAACTGCCCCCTACACACATCTCCCCCTGGAAGGACCCAGAGTAATTCTAGGTCGTTCGTCCAAAGCAGAACTCATTCTCACACGGCGTCCTTTTACTACCGAAACCGGAAGCAAATAGTGACACCGCAAGCACATGCTTATCCTTCTGCCTCGCCTCTCGAAGTGAGCGGCATCATCTGGATCTACCCACTTAGCCAACCTGGGGTTCATCCCCAGAGAGTGCCTGCTCTTCTCCCTCACCCAGAATATTCCATGGGTCATCAAGAACTGGTGATTCCTGCCCCTAGATATAATAATGACTGGCGACACACCCTTCACTCCCTCTCCCCTGAGTTCGCTCGGATCCTCATGACACCTCTCCAAAACCACGCAGGCTTCCTGCCTTATCCCACCAAAGGCCATGCTCAGTGCGCTCACCAAAGTCGCCTTCCTAACTCTGCTCGCAATTCTTTGGCACATGAGTATCTTCTATTAAAGCAATATCCTCCGCATGATGTCGGAGTCCCGAGACTAACTCACCAGCTTCATTTCTACCTTCTGTCCTTTCCCCAGGATGAATTTTTCCAAAGTGCTGCAGCTTCTGTCCTTTCTGCCCACCAGGAAACCCTACCACCTTCCAAGTCTCTTTCTGAAAGCAGCTCCTTTTTGAAGCCTCCTCGGCCCCTGCAAGCACATACGCCTCTGTGCCATGGGGAGGACTGCAGTTCTTGCCGCTGGGCGCCTAACTGCTTCCATGTTTCTGTTTCCCTCCTACTAAACTGCAAGCCCCTCAAAGGCAGGCACGCGGCCTCAGTCGGCGTTCTAGTCTCAGGAGCTTTCGGTCATCCGAAAGCCAGAAGCCATCGGCAACTGTTGAATGCAAGCTCACTGAATGCGGAACGGATGGGGCAGTCGGCTCTGCAGGCAGAGGACTACACTCCCAAAAGCTGATCCTGAGACTGAGGAGGCAGACTGAGCAAACGGGCCAGACACCCAGACTCGGAGAAGGCTCCCCTCCTTCACTGCGACAGATCTCCTAAGGGACATTTCAACACAAGTGTTGCCTCCATTAAGTAAAAAATGCAAAGCCGTGTCCCTGTTCCAAACTTTGAGACCCCGGGCTGTGGTGGCTGTTTTAACGATGACATATTGGTAAGTACATGCAAAAGTAAGGGAGAGCTCAGAGAAGTGCTGGCAAAATTCCCCCAACCCAAATTCTAAATAAATATGCAATACACCATATGTTAACTAGCTAGAATTTAAATAAAAATTTGAAAAAATAGAAAGCAAGCAAGCAAGCAAAATAACTCTTTTAAAATGTACCTGGGGAGCTCTCCTCTATTTGCTAGTTGAGATGCTACCTGACTCACAAATCGTTTCATAAAGCCAATTAGATCTTAATAAATAAATAAATAAATTTAATTAAGTGTGCTTGGCCAGGACTGTAACAACAGCCAAAAGGTGGAAACGGCCTTAATTTCAGCATCTGATGAGTGGATAAATAAAACGTGGCCTATCCGTACAATGGCAGGTTATTCCGCCGTAACAAGGAATGAAGTGCCACTTCATGCTACAACACGGATGAACCTCACACACGTCATACTGAGTGTAAGAAGTCAGACACAAAAGGCCACATAGTGTATGATTCCATCTATATGAAATGTCCAGAAGAGGCAAATCCAGAGAGACAGAAAGGAGATTTCATGGTGGCCAGGGGCTGGGAGGCTGGAGGGGGAATGGGGAGTGACGGCTCATGGGTTCCACATTTGACTTTGGGGTGATGAAATGTTCTGGAACCACACAGGGGTGGTGGCTGTACAACGCAGAACACACCAAATGTCCCCAAACTCCATACTTGAAAATGGTTAATTTTGGGCGCCTGGGTGGCTCAGCTGGTTAAGCGACTGCCTTCGGCTCAGGTCATGATCCTGGAGTCCCTGGATCGAGTCCCGCATCGGGCTC